GCTATGGGTCAGGTCCGACTTGATGGCACATAACAACAACAACATAGGACAGAGTAAAACTATCCATAGGGTTTCCAAGTCCATAAATCTTTACAGAAGCAGACTGCCATATTTTTTCTTCTCTAAGAGAAGCTGGTGGATTTGAAACACACACCTTTCAGTTAGTAGCCAAGTGCTTAACCACCACTCCACCACGACTCCTATATGGAAGTTGGTAAAGTGAACCAACAGTTGTCTGCTGTTCATTTTAAATTAAGCCAGAAGTAATGGATTGTTGTCATATCCATTTTTAAATGATTTATTGTGTTTGGCTTAGGGATTGAATTGTATTAAAATTGAGAGGAAATTTATGTATTAATTACTATAAATTAACATAGGAAACCCTATCATTATGACCCTGATGTTTAGAATGACTGCATTTTGTGCATAATCAATCACTTTATTTTTATAACTGTAATTCCTTATTTCTAAATGACAAGAGAGATGGTTTCAGACTCAACTGCAAACACATCTTTGCCATTAATATTTTGCACATGTGGCTAGCTTTATTCCTTGTAAAGGAAAGGCCAACTGGAATAGCACTGTCACTTTTTTTTCCCCCCACATGGGCTTTTGAAGAATATTTGAGCCCCCAATATCTGAACAAGAATTGTGAAGAAATGAATGCATCTTCCTGGACTAACGAGGAATCTGGAGGTAGATTTGCAAAACTGGCTGCATCTGACCTTCAGTGTTCATTTGCACTCATAGTCTTTCACTAAAGGGAAGAGCCCAGGGATAAAAATAAGGTAAAGCTGAATGCTGGACAAAGCAAGGACAAAAGAGCTGCTCCTCAGTCTGTTTACAGAGGAAAATGTTCTTTTTTTTTTTTTTAATCAACATTTTAAAAACAGAAATGAAAACATAGGCTCTCACTGCCTTTAACGATGGAAATTCCTTGAAACATAATAAGAAAACTAAATGTTCCAAGGTGCTTGGGTGGCACAAGTGGTTTGTAATTGGTTGCTAACCAAGAGGTTGGCAGTTCAAACTAGGCAGCTCTGCAGAAGAAAAGGCCAGGCAATCTGCTTCTGTAAAGATTACAGCCAAGAAGACTTTATGAGCAGTTTTGCTCTGTAACACAAGGAGCTGCTGTGAACTAGGGGAGGAGCCAACTCAAACTAACACTACCAAATGTTACATCATTAAGAATGATATCATGGATGTGTATTAAAAAAAAAAAAAAAAAAATGGAAAGATGCTGTATTATTGCATGAAAAAAAGCAAGTTACAAAATAGCTTATGAAGTATGAGTCCATTTGTGTAAGGAAGAAGTGCTGAGTTACATTGCAGCAAAACGTGAATGGCAGTTACCTTGGGAGGAGGGGAAGGGTTGGAATCTTGGTACTTTTTTCCTCCATTTGTGTGTTGGTCTTTCCTATCACAAGTTACTTACGGAATTAAAGAGATAATTATTTTATTATTATTTTTTATTAAAAGACAGCTATTTTTAAAAAGTAAATACAAGCACATATAAAGCATAATTATCATCTCTTCTAGTTTATTCACTGACTTGCTTGAAAGGTAAGTTTCCTTCTGGTGTACACAAAGACCTTGCATATATGGGTTATGCAAATACAAATGAAATCTATATCCTAACGCTACTTAGCACTCTCATCTTTAGAAGGCTGTATTTAGTGTACGTGTAATTATGCCTTCAAATGCTGGATATTTACAAATAATGGAATAACCAACATGGAAATAGGCACAGTCATAAATTTCTGGTTGTCACTATAGCAACACCCTATGATAAATCCTATTTTTGTCTTTGTGATTACAAATTACTTTCACTAACATAAAAATCTCAAAATGTGTATTATTTAAAATATATGTGCAACATTTAAAAATACATACAGACATATTGCTGTTATGTTGTTGTTAGGTGCCATCAAGTGGATTTCAACTCGGAGTGACCCCATGTGAGAGAGCAGAACTACCTGGAAGGATTTTCTAAGCTGTAATCTTCATAGGAGCAGATTGCCAGGTCTTTCCCCCAAGGAGCTTCTAGGTGGGTTCGAACCTCCAACTTTGTGCTTAACAGCCAAGTGCTTAACCATTGTGCCACCAGGGCTCCTATTTATATACATACATACCTACACACACACATATGTATATATGTAATAGTGAAAGAAAGATCTATACATTTTCCCCCAACACTAAAGGATTACTATCTTCTATTAAATATAGCAAGGTCATCTTTCACAAGGAAAAAAAATACAGGCATTTTTAAATTACTGTCAATTAAGATAATTTTAGAGATGTTTACTGAATCTTGTTTTCCCCGATTCATAACTTTCTGAAGGTTGCTCTTTGATTTTACTGATAATGCCATGGTGTTTTTTTCAAAATTTTATGTTTTAAGAATGAGAAAATCCATTATGCTATTTCAACACATAAAATTAACATTTTAAATATAAAATATTTTAAAATATTTAAATATTAACATTTAATATTATTAAATAATAATATTTAAATAATATAGCCCAGAGGCTATATTTTAGACATCTCAATCTTTCTTTTTAAATTATCCTTCAGCACAAATAAATAATCTTTAGTGAAAGGGAAAACAAAGAAGAAGGAAGGAAAGAAGGGAGGGAGGGAGGCAAAAAAAGTTGCAGATAATGATGGAAGAATGCCACATTACATTTAAAGTTTCCACACACAAAAAAAAGATGTTGCAAGATGGGATAGAAAGCACTTTGGAGCTTTGGAGGCAGAGCAGGATTTAAATACAAGCATTCTTCTCAGATGACTCTAGTATCTCTGGGATCTTAAGAAGTTACTGAGCCTCCGGTTCCTCACCCCTAAACACTCCGATGGTTTTTGCGAATAGGAATAAACACAGGGAGCCCGTGAGTGGTGCAAACAGTTAACGTGCCTGCTACTAATCAAAAAGTTGGAGGTTTGAGTCCATCCAGAGGTGTCCTGGAAGAAAGATCTGGTGATTTACTTCTTAAAAAAATTAGCCATTGAAAATATTATGGAGCACAGTTCTATTCTGACAGACATGAGATTGCCATTAGTCAAAATCAACTCTACAGCAACTGGTTTGTAACATACTTAGAGCTTTAGCACAGTTCCTGGTATCTGTATGCTTGGAATTTTAATCATCTTTCTTCCCACCCTGTTAGAATGGATGGGATCATTAAGAATATACCCAAATCATCAATTTAGGACCTGTTACTCTTTTGTGTATTTAACTCTATACAGGTACAAAGGTTTCCAAGACAGGTGTCAATGATAATGGTCACATCTAAACTGTACATAATGAGCTCTGCTGGCACAGTGGTTCAAGTGTTCGGCTGCTAACCAAAAGTCAGTGGTTCAAACTCACCAGTTGCTCAGTGGGAAAAAGGTGAGGTAGTCTGCTTCCATAAAGATTTACAGCTTAGGAAACCCTGCGGGGTAGCTCTACTCTGTCCTACAGGGTCACTATGAGTCGGAATTGACTTGACAACAATGGGTTGGCTTTTGGTTTACACCGTATATATTTCAACTCAATGAACATACCATCCAAGTAACTATAAATAACAGGCAATAGCATAAGATTTCAAGAGAAATTATTATTTCTGTTATTATCAAACTTAGGAATTTAATCTGTAGCAATTAGTATACATCTGCATTGAGTGTATTTATTTGGTCATTCAGATTTTATTATTTTCAGAGATCTGAGTGATACACAATTATTTTTATAAGCATCCTTGTGCAATCCTAAAGTTCAGCCTGCAAGGCCCCCAGCTACTACCTTCCAGAAAAACAAGCCATCTCCTGGGGCTTTCCTCCTACTCCCGGAGGATATAAAGGTGTATCAATTTACCAACAAAACATATTTACACAATACTTAGAATGTGCCATTGACTGTCCAAGGAAAAAAATGCCACCATGATCAAGATGCAACCACTCCTTTGCCAGGCTAGAACTGAAAATATCCAGTGGTAAAGATGGAAATGTATCAGGCAATTAGGCAGGGTGATAAGTGCTAAGATGAGCAGCCTAGGGTGCCAAAAGAGTAAAAATGAGAGTGGTCTTGGACCCAGATCAGGGGCCTCAGGGAAGGCTTCTCAGAGGAGGTGGTGTCCAAATTGAGATATGACTCATAGTGACCCCTCCTTGGGTTTCCAAGGTGGTATCTCTATGAAAGTAGATTGTCCAATCTTCCTTCCAAAGAGTAGTCAGTGGCTTTGAACCACCAGCCTTCTGGTTAGCAGTCAAATGCCTTAGGCACTCTGCCACCAGAGCTCTTAAGGTAAATAAGAAAGAACTCAAAAAATTAAAGACATTTTCACAATATTTGAAGCCACATTGAAAGACAATGCCAATCTCACAACATCTAAGCTGGTCAAATATTCACTTTTTTAGACTACATTTCATTTAGGCAGTTAACCCCTAGCCCACACTCACTACTCACTAACTCATTCCTAAGCCCAAGGCAGATCTCCCAATAAGGAGATGCCAGACAGTCAAGGGAAACATGAGGCCTATTAAGAAAGTCACAACTAGAGAAAGGAGATGTATTTTTTTTTTTTACTGAATTCACATAAAATGGCTTATTAGAATATGTCATTTGCTTGGTTGTAGGACATGTCTGACTCCAAGACCCCAATACTTTCGTAACTGTAGCTTAAGTGACTTGAGGTTGCCTCACTTTTGCTCTTCTTCCTTTTCAGCTGCTCTCCTTGCAGGTCAGACGGTTCAAGTACAGCAGAGCTCACAGATTTAAGTCCTTTGGCAAATGGAAAGTCAGCCCCACCCAGTTCCACTAAATCTGACCGATGACCTGGGGGCAAGAGTCGGTCACTTAGTAGTCTTTTTCTTATTTCTTCTTCTTTAGTCTAAAAAGCAATATAAAAGAATGAAAGACAGCCTGAAGAACTTCACACAAATTCTCATTACTATTCCTGGTCATTACCATTTATAGGTTCTCTCTTTTATTATTCAGTCATTTAACAAACATGTGTTGAGTAATTAACTGTTGAAGAAGACAGATATGGTCTGTACCTCATGGTGCTTGCAGTTTAATCCTTCCTGAGAGACCCAGAAGACAGACAGGATATGGAGGCTCTCAGCCCAAAGCTATGAAGGCTGAGTTCTGGCAGAATGCCTGACGGAGAGATCCTGTGTACACACAGGCTGCAGGAGTTATTTGGGGGTCGTCAGTGCCTCTTCTTAACCCACCACCCCCTCCTCTACTGACAACTGAAGTTTCCCTTTTTTAATATGAAGAAAACTCCATACCTCACTTAATTCTGAGAATGAATTATGTCTTGCCTACTGCAATCGGATTTTATTTCAATGCTGTCTTGGCGTAGTTTTGAGGCCCTGTGTGGAAGCTGGTCCATTCCCCTTCTTGAGCACCTGATTATTCTCCAGCCACTCCTCTTACCAGGTTCTCACATCCTGGGCTAATATGCACCCATCCTAATTTCCCTGGAAGGAGCTCTGGTGGCACTGTGGTTAAGGCATTGGGCTGCTAACCAGAAGGGAGGAGGTTCCAACCCACCAGCTGCTCCATGGGGGGCAGGGAGGGATGACAGGAGGCAATCTATGTCCACAAAGATTTACAGCCTTGGAATCCTGATGGGGGGATCACTATGAGTTGGAATCTACAGCAGTGGGTTTTGGTTAATTGCTCTGGGCCAGGTACGCAACAACTAAGGACAACCCCTGTGGTAGACTGCATTGTGTACCCTAAAAATGTGTGTGGTAAATCCTAACCTCTAAGCCTGTGGTTATAATCCCATGTAGGAATGTGATTTCTTTTTCATGCTAATGAGGCAGGATTTGTGTAGGGTATGTCTTAAATCAATGTCTTTTGAGATATGCAAAGAGCAGATTGAACAAGCAATCAAGCAAGCAGAGAAGGGGGAAGATCCATGCCAGGCCACATGAAGATCACCAAGGTGCCAAGAAACAAAAGCTGAAAAGAAACAAGGACCTTCTTCCAGAGTAGACAGAGAGAACCATCCCCTAGAGATGACACAGTGAATTTGGGCTTCAAGCTTCTTAAACTCTGAGAAAATAAATTTCTATTTGTTAAAGCCATCCACTTACGGTATTTGTTATAGCAGCCCTAGACAACTAAGACAGCCCTTGTGCCCTCTGAGCTGCAGAATTATTTAAAATGCCCAACCCCTAGGAAGCCCATGGAACCCAGCTAACTCCACCTTGCTTGCTATTTTTAAGCCCTCACCTACAATTCCTGCTTGTTTTTGCCTTGTCCCCGGGTGCAACCCCCTGTGTGGCCCTGTGTCATGACATGCTATGCTTCCATTCTCTAGAACCTATGAGTAATAAACCTGGTTACTTTTCATGGCCTTCTTGACTTCTATGTCCCATGTCACACTGACTTACCATCCTATGAGTTTCTTAGCAGTCATTTAAGCTATATGGATGAAATATTAATTCAACCACCCTCCAAATATTGTTTATGCAACAAAAAAAACAAACTCACTGCCATTGAGTCAATTCCAACTCATAGTGACCCCCCACTGGGTTTCTAAGACTGTAAATCTTTACAGAAGCAGACTGCCTCATCTTTCTTTCACAGAGCAGCTGGTGAATTTGAACTACTGACTTTTTGGTTAGCAGCCAAATGCCTTAACCACTACCCAACCAGAGCTCCTCTATGCAACACAAAGAGAGTTAAAAAAATAAATAAATGAACATCTAAGCATACTGCATAACAAGTCTGCTGCTGTTGTTAGCTGCCCTTGAGGCAGCCCAGACTCATGGCAACCCCCTGCACAATGAAGCAAAATACTACCAGGTCTTGCACCAACCCCATGATGGGTTGTGGATTGGACCATCCATTGTGAGCTATAATGTTTTCACTGCAAATTACCAGGCCTTTCTTCCTATTCTGTCTTAGTCCGGAAGCTCTGCTGAAACCTGTTTATCATCATTACAACACACAAGACTCCACTGTCAGATGAGTGGGGGCTGTGCATAAGGTGCACTGGCTAGAAGTCAGAACTAGACCTCCTGCATGAAAGGCGAGAGTTCTACCACCAGACTGTCAATGCCTCATGATAGAAGGCATACAGATCATTAAAACACTTCATACAAATCTATGCAATTTGTCCTGAATCTGATGATGTGACTCATCTTAGGAAGCAACAAGTACTCGCCAGCTGTGGTATGAGGAAGAGCTTGAGTACCTTCCCGCGCTCCTCCACTGCCTGCATCTTCTCATCTATGTCCTTCATGGAGAAGTCTTTCATTTCCCTTTTGATCTTAAGTTTTTTCAGTCTGGCTGGTGGCTTTCTCAGTGGCATCTCAGTGGTGTTCACCTGGAGGAAAACACTTATTAACATGAAGAAACAAACATTCATTAGCAGAGGAGAAAGAGAGAAAGGATAGAATAAACACAGCTTAAAATGTAAATCTTCAACATCTAAGCTTCGGATGGCAGATTAAAAAAATATATATCACAATATGAAAGCTGGAAATGACAGAATTAATGCCTAGAGATAAAATCTATTCAATGCGTAGAAACAAACAGGCTATAACAGAAAAGGTGTCAATAATGCAAAATTGTTCTGGAACTGCCTGAAGAGGACTCATAAGAAGAAGATAATTTTGAGGATGAGCATAAGATGGAAAAAGGTCATGAATGAGCACTGGATTTGTAGTTCAAGGCCATAACTTAATTGGATGACTGACTATCCCAAACGAAAAGCCAAACTCACTGCCGCGGAGTCAACTTGACTCACAGTGACCCCACCTTGGGTTTCTGAGGCAGTTTCTCTGCAGAAGTAGATTGCTCAATCTTCCTTCTGAGGAGTGGCTGGTGGGTTTGAACCGCCAGTTCTGGTGAGCAGTCAAATGCGTTAGGCACTACGCCATCAGCAGAGTTGCTGCTCAGTAATATACTCCATAAACTATATAGATATTTCTATATAGTTATTTCTTCCATATATAGATATTTGTATAGATTTGTATATAGAGAGATAATATTCCATAAACTACAAATTACTTTCATTTAGGATCAAGTTGAGATTTTACAACATTTGGTCTCACAGAGGGGAGAGAGAATTAATGATTACTGAGCAGCAACTCTGCTGGCAGTACTGTTGATACATTACAAATTTTTCATGACCAAAAAAAAAAAAAAATTCCCTTGTCATATGATTGTCTGCCTTTTAAATAGCCCAAAGTAGTAATAGTGACTTTATGGTTAAAATTTCAAATTACAAAAAAAGTAAAATTGTTGTAAAGCATATATGAAGAAATTTTTAATTTATATGTTTTTCTTTAAAAATTGTTTCATAATATACATTTGTTGTGAAAAATTAAAGTGATAAACAATCTCTCTTAATCTTCTAATAAGCTCTGGTAGTGCAGTGGTTAAAGCATTGGGCTGCTAGCCAAAGGGTGGGCAGTTCAAACCCAACAGCTGCTCTGTGGGAGAAAGATAAAGCAGTTTACTTCTGCAAATATCACAGCCTTGGAAACCCTATGGGGCAGTTCTACTCTTTCCTATAGGGTCGCTATGAGTGGAGATTGACTCGATGGCAGTGGGGTAGTGGAATATTCTGTTTAATCACCTGACCTCCAACCTCACTCCTCACCATGAATGTTTATTAAGAGTTTGGTGTTTTTCTAGACATCTCTCTCTATATATATACATGTAACAGATGTACAAATACATCTGTATTGTTAAACAAAACATAAATGGGCTTATACCATATACACTGCTCTGCTATTTGCTTTTTTAATTTAATTTAATATGGACATCTTTCTAGGTCAGGATGTATAGATTTATTACAACTGGGGGAAAAATTTAATGAGCTTCAAAGTTTGACTACTAGACAAATGGAATATTATTCCAGATAATTTTTCGAAAGATTTTTTTTTTCCAGACAAAGGAATTATTGCTATTCATTCTAATTTTTTTTTAAAAAAACTGTCTGTTCAGATGATAATGCTGTAAGTACTGAGAAAACAAACCAAAGAGACAAAGGCAGGCAGTGAAGCATAGTAGAAATAGGCACCAGGTTTGGATTTAAGATAGACCTGGTTTGGATTCTGGCTTAGCCATGGTGTGACTTTGCATGAGTCCTTAAACTCTGTTGGCGCTAGTTTTCTCATTTGTAGCACAGGTTTAATAATACTTACTTCATAGGATTCCTAAAAAAAAAGATAGAGATGCACAGAGAGGTATATAGTAGCCACTCAATAAATGGTACCTACTTTTCAGTTAATCAAAATCCCAAAATAAAAAACAGTTATAGTCATTTCTGACTCATGGTGACTCCCTATCTGTCAGAGTAGAACTGTTGCATGGCCATTTAAATCTCAGTAGAACATTTTCAAATATAGTGAAAAAACTTCACTTAAATATCTATTTAGCTTCTAATTAAAAAAAAAAAAAACTTAAAAATCTATACCAAACCAAAACCAAACCCATTGCTGTGGAGTCAGATCTGACTCATGGCAACCCCTCCTTGGGTTTCTGAGGTGGTATCACTACAGAAATAGATTGCCCAACCTTCCTTCTGAGGAGTGGCTAGTGGGTTTGAACCACCAGCCTTCTGGTTAGCAGTCACATGCCTTAGGCACTACTACCAGAGCTCCCTTAAAATCTATAGAAATTGCCAATTCAACTTTTTTAAGAATACTATCAGGGGACTGCCAAGCCCAAAGATACTGAGATAAGATGTAGGTCTTGTTCCTAGCCAACCTAACTTTGTGCAGTCCTCCAAGCTTTCCTAATTAATGCTTGACCTACAGCTGAACCTACCTTGGTTAAGTTCCCTGACTGGAGTATTGTGTGTACAATGGCCACAGGCCAAAGCGTTCCACAAGAGATTTGTTTAGTCCTGTCCTGTCATTTTTAGACCTCCTGGGGAAGGTCACTTTGAGCATTAACTGGCATTATTCAGTCTTAACCCATTTGACTCCCTCCTCCTTAAAAAACATCCCATGAGTTTCAATAAACAATGTTGGAGGCTCTGATGCAAGGTGAGCAAACTCCCTAACTATAGTAAAGGTTACTAAGCACAGAAATCACACGGAGCAGGGAGGAAACTTTGACCAGAGACAAGAGGCATCAATAGAGGCTTCACAGAGCCTGAGGAGAGGAGATCCAGGGAGTGCTAAGAGGCTGGGAGAAAGGTATTTGGGATAAGACACATATAACTTGAGGAGCTCTGATGGCACTGTGGTTAAAGCTTTGGGCTGCTGACCAAAAGGTCCATGGTTTAACCTACTAGCCACTCTGTGGGAGAAAGATGAAGCAATCTGCTTCCTACAAGGTATACAGCATTGGAAACCCTATGGGGGCACTTCTACTCTGTCCTGTAGACTCGCTATTGAGTTGGAATTGACTTGATGGTAGTGGGTTTAAACTTGCTAATGGAGTCCCTGATTTGGGGTCAATTTGGAGGCACCTTGGAAGAAAGGCCTGGCAATCTACTTCTGAACAATCAGCCACTGAAAACCCTATTCTACTCTGACACATAGGGTTACCATGATTCAGAATTGACTTGATGGTAACTGGTTAAACTGAATAATACCTATGTGCATAAAGAAAAATCAATTATATCTCTCCAGAGATCTACAGCAATCTGTACACATATTTACATATATAAGTACAATCAAAACACATGTATAGCATAGCCATTTAAATCACAGTAGAATTTTTTAAAATATACTGAAAAATTCAATCAAGAATCTGGTATATCCCTGAGTGGCACAAATAGTTAAGCACTTGACTAGTAGCTGAAAGATTGGTGGTTTGAACCCACCCCCAAGCATCTTGGAAGGGAGACCTGGCTATCTGCTTCTGAAAACTCATGGGCTTGAAAACCCTATGAGAGTACAGTTCTAGTGTGCACACATGGGGTTGCCATAAGTTGTAATTGATTTGATGGCAACTAAAAACAAACTATCATTTTAACTTTCTGAGTATGATGAAATCAGTGAGCATGAATATGCTTGAGAGCTGGCTATCCAAAGGGTACTATGGCATTGCTGTAGTCCTTGCCAGCCGTCAAATAGTAAAAGTTAAGACAAAAGGGGGTGGGGCCCTTGTGGTGGACACAGATACTCCTATGGACCTCTGGAGATGGATGCAGAGGGGAGCCCCCTGAATCAGAGGATGGATGGAGGACTTTCACTTTTCAGCATCCATCATCACGTCACCCTAAGTGATAACTTGAATGAAAGATAACAATAGGGCTAAGAAGGTGAGAGATCACGTCCATAATTCCCTTATATTTAAGTATCCTACAGGCCTACATAGGAGGAGACCTGGTGGTACAGTGGTTAACATCTTGGCTGCTAACTAAAACATTGTCCAGCAGGAGAAAGACTTGGCAATCTGCCTCTGCAAAGATTACAACCTAGGAAACCCTATGGGGCAGTTCTACTCTGTCATACGGGGTCGTTATGAGTCAAAATCAACTCAATGACACCCAACAACAACAACAACAACTACGTAACCCAGGGGAAAAAAAAAAAAAAAAAACATTGCTATTGAGTTGATTCCAATTCATGGTGACTACATGTGCTTCTCACATGCATATGAGGCGATTGCATGTGAGAGCTGGACAATGAATAAGGAAGACCAAAGAAGAGTTGATGCTTTTGAGTTGTGGTGCTGGTGAAGAATGCTGAAAGTACCGTGGACTGCAAAAAGAACTAACAGATCTGTCCTGGGGGAAGTGCAGCCAGAATGCTCCTTGGAAGCAAGAATGGCCAGACTTCGTCTCACCTATTTTGGTCATGTCAGAAGGGACCATTCCCTGGAGAAGGATGTCATGCTTGGTGGGGTGGAGGGTCGACGAAAGAGAGGGAGGCCTTCAACGAGATGGATTGACATGGTGGCTGCGATGATGGGCTCAAGTATAGCAGGGATTGTGGGGCTGGCGCGGGATCGGGCAGTGTTTCGTTCTGCTGTGCATGGGGTCACTATGAGTCGGAAACGACTCAACGGCACTTAACAACAACAACACATGTGCTTCAGAGTAGAACTGTGCTCAACAGGGTATTCAAGGCTGTGACCTTTTGGAAGTAGCTTCCCGGGCCCTTCTTCCATGGTGCAGCTGTTGTTGTTGTTCTTAAGTGTCGTCGAGTCATCTCCAACTCATAGCAACCCTATGCACGGCAGAATGAAACACTGCCCAGTCTTGTGCCAGCCTCACGATCCTTGCTGTACCTGAGCCGGTTGTTGCAGCAACTGTGTCTATCAATCTCAGTGCAGCTAGGTGGACTCAAACTGCCAATCTTTCAGTTAGTAGCTGAGAGCAAACCATTTGAAAAAGTCTTATTATTTGTTTAAGTATTC